CGCAGCGGTTGATCGCTGGGTTGCGAAGCTGCCCGCCCTCTGCGCCAGTTCAAGCCGGTTGCTCCCTGGCCAGAGGAGGGTCCCACATAAAAGAGACCTCTCCTGCCGAAGCTGCTCCCCTCAGCAGTGTACTTCGGTCCTTCTGCCTGCTCTGCTCCCCGCTCTGGCTCTGGTGAATTCTCTCACCCTAGCGCTTCTGACTGTACCCAGTGCATGTATAAACAAAACAAACAAACAACAAACAAATAAATAAAATGCCTCTACAAAATGGCAAATAAATCGATAAATAAATAAATAAATAAACAATAGTATCAAAGAGCCTAACATACTTTAGAATGAATTCATAAAGTATACACAAGATCTCTCACATGAAAACTGCTAAGAGAGAGGGCCTCCCTGGTGGCGCAGCGGTTGAGCGCTGGTTTGCGAAGCTGCCCGCAGCCTCTGCAGCACCAGTTCGATCCCCGGCTGCTCCCCGGCCACCAGAGGAGGGTCCCACATGGCGCACAGACCTCTCTTGCTGCCAGCTGCTCCCCTCAGCAGTGTACTTCAGTCCTTCTGCCTGCTCTGCTCCCCGCTCTGACTCTGGTGAATTCTCTCACCCTCCCGCGCTTCTGACTGTATCCAGTGCTTGTATAAATAAATAAAAATAAATCTTAAAAAAAAATAGTCTCGGGCCTCCCCTGGTGGCGCAGCGGTTGGGCTCTGGGCTGCAAAGCTGCCCGCAGCCTTTGCAGCACCAGTTCGATCCCTGGCCACCGGCGAGGGTCCCACATGGCGCGCAGACCTCTCCTGCCACCCGCTGCTCCCCTCAGCAGTGTATTTCATCACTCTGCCTGTTCTGTTCCCTGCTCTGGCTCTGGTGAATTCTCTCACTGTCCTGCGCTTCTGACTGTACCCAGTGCTTGTATAAATAAATAAATAAACAAACAAACCAACAAATAAATAAATCTTTAAAAAAAAGTCTTAAAAAAAAGAAAATTGCTAAGAGTGATAATAAATGGCTATATCTTCATCATGAATTAAGATATCAGGTCTCCTCAAAACAGATCCAGCATAGCCCTCATGAAGATCTCACAAGGTTTTATTCTGATGAAATTAACCAGCTGGTTCTGTAATTTTCATGAATATGTGGACTTTTATATCCAAAGAAAATCTTAATAAAGAAGAGCAAAGTTGGAGGACTCACACTTCCTGATGTCAAAAGTGTCTATAAAGTTACTAGTAATCTAAATGGTTTGGTATAAAAGTAAATAATGAGCAAAATGCAGCTTCCTGAATTAATTTACTCATTTATTTTTTAGCAAATGGCACTGGGATACAGAATGAACCTTGACTCCGACTTCTACACCATACAGAACCATTGACTTAAAATGGATCATAGACCCAAATACAAAAGCTAAATCTATGTGACCTTGAAGGAGTTAATGATCCCTTAATACACAAAGAGCACCAAACATCAAAGAAATGATTGATAAATTGGGATTCCCCAAAATTAAAACATATCCATCAGAAAACATCTTTAAGAAAATAAGCAAGCCAGAACCTGATAGAAAATGTTTGTAAGATACTTATCTAAGGAAGGAGCAATCGCCTGGATATTTAAAGAATTCCTACAAACCAACAATAAAGAGAAACCAACTTATAAAATTTGTAACCATTTTAAGTGGATATTCTACAGATGGTTTACAACAGATAATTCAGCCAGATATTTAAAATATTTCAACATTAATATTCAAAAGTAATTTACAAAGATATACAAGTGCATTAGTCATCAGGGAAATGCAACTAAACCACAATAGACACCATCACGCAATCCCCAGTATTTCACAGTTCAAATGACTGATTCTGCCTAATGTACTCTAGGATGTGGAGAGTCCTGATCCCTTTTACATTGTTGGAAAAGCTGATTATTTATAAAACTAAATACACACCCACCCTATGGCCCCAATGATCGCACTCCTAGGTATTTACCAAAAAGACACAGAAACATACATCCACAAACACTTGCTCAAGCATGTTCCTGACAGTTTTATTTATGATAACCAAAAATTTCTGACAGCCCTCGTTTCTATCAGTGGGAGGAGTATGAAGAAAACCATGGTATATCCTAGCAGGAAAAAAACTAGCAATAAAGAAGAACAAATGATTAAACTGGCGCCATAAGTAGATTTTAGGAACATAGTGCTTTATACAAGAGTACGTAAGGTATTCCATTTGCATGACAGTCTACAACAGACAAAACCAAGTTCTGGGCCTCCCTGGTGGTGTAAGGGGTTAAGCACCGCACTATGAAGCAGTTTGCAGCCTCTGCAACAAGAGTTCAAACCCCGGCCAGCCAGGGAGCAACCCACATGGCACAACAGACCTCTCCTGCCTTGCTGGCTGCTCCCCTCAGCAGTGTACTTCAGTCAGTCTGCCTGTTCTGTTCCCCACTGTCTCTGGTGAATCCTCTCACCCACCCACATACATCTCTGGCCTGTTCCCCAGCTCTTGTATGCATAAATAAATAAATATTTAAAAAAAAAAAGTTCTATGAAGGCAAAGCTAACCTACAGTAGAAAAACTCAAAATGGTGACATGGGTGAGGCTCTGGGGAACTTAGATCCTCTGGTGATATTTGTTGAGAGTTTGGATAGGTAGGTAGGTGTTTAATTTGCAAAGGTGTATGTCAGAACTCATCTATGGTGAATCTAAGATGTGTGTGCTTCATTCTACATTTTACTTCCCCCCGAAAAATCTGTAAATAAGTATTTAACTCTAGTTAATGATATGCAGGGAGAAGTAGGGGTGGGTGGCTGGGTGGGCGGAGTGTGTATTGATGTCTACAACTTACTCTGAAATGCATCCAAACAATATGGGTTGGTGGCTGGAAAGAGGACACATAAATATTTAATAAACAAGTCTAGTGAAACGTTCATTGTAGAAGCTAAGTGGAGAGTAGAGGTGTTTACTGTAAAATTCTTTCAACCTATATGTTTGAAATATTTCATAAGTAAAAGGGGGGGTTTATTGCAGGACTCATCCCGATGGAATATTCATGCCCCTTTCGCGCTAAACCCTAAGATCTTGCCCCCAAGAAGCTGGATAAAAGCGGAGCATGGGTGGGGGGGTACCCTGGCGGCACAGGCATTAAAGTCTCAGCCCTATCACGTTATCGCCAGCCACTGCAACATAAGTTCCATCCCCAGCCAGGGAACTAACCCACATGGCGCGACAGACTGCTCCCCGCAGCAGGGTATTTCAGTCGATCCACCTGTTCTGCTCCCCACTCTGTCTCTGGTGAATCCTCTCACTCCCCCCCCCCACCTCTGGCCTGTACCCCAGTTCTTGTGTACATAAACAAATAATTTTATTTTTTTTACAAAAGAGCATTTGGGAGTGCATAGCCCATGTGAGAGCAGTGCTAGCAGCACCAGGGGGTCTGGCAGTGGACATATATTGGAGTCCAGAGCTGTGTGTTCTGCTCTCGATCCTGGCGAGTATAGGAAGTGGGTGAGTTCTGAGCTGGGGATCATTCTCTCCGGAGGCGAGTAAATTCTTAGTTCAAAGATGCCCACACATCCTCTCCCTTAAGTCTGCGCTCCCACCCACAGAGCTGCGATTCGGAGGGGCTCTGAGGGACTAGGTGCAAGGGTTGAGGGAGATGTGTCTCAAGGGGACGGAGCGCCCTCTTCTGGCCCGCGAGCCTACACAAATAGACCAGGCACCCGACCCCCCTTTTCAGCACCCGCTGCGCTCGCCCGGGGCCGGAGTTACGGAGCGGGGGATGAGCGGCTGAGGGCCGGACAGCTGCCGGCCGACGCTAGGTGCGGGGGGCGGCCCCTCGCGACTGGGAGGCGGGGACCGGGGTGGAGCCCCAGCCGCGGCAGCCGCCGGGCCTCACCTGTTGCAGCGTCGAGCGCGCGCACCTCCTGTTCCCAGCGCTGCCGGGCGGGCTGTGGAGCGCAGGGGGCCTGAGGGACATTCCCGACCGGGCGGCACGGAGAGGGCGCTGGCCCGGAGGTGAGACTCAAACGCGGCTGCGGCGCCGGCACCCCCCGAAAGGTGGGGTTCCAGGAGGCGGCCCCGCGGTTTGCTGGGGAGCCTCGCTGCTGGTCGGCTTCGGCGCTGGGGAAGTACTCCACGCCCCGCCCTGTCGGCGCCAAAACCTCCAGAGCGCTCGGAGGCAGCCTAGCCTGGGTGGAGGAGATGGATCTTCGGGGTCACGGGCTCCCCTCCCGCCCCCGGCCCCCGGCTGCCGCCCCTGGAGCGGGGCTGGCGGGTGTGCGCGCCGGGCGCTGGCGGGGTGGACACGTGGGGGCGGGAGACGCCCCCGCGCACGACCCAGGGGCCAAGGGCGTTTGGGCCGGGCCGGGCCGGGCCAGGGCGGCTGCCCGGGGGAGCTGCCCCAGACTTCCTCTGCTTCTCATTCCCGTTCCCTTTCTGTCTCCTCCTCCAGCCCGGCGGCCTGAGCTCAGCCAGGTGGGCGGGAGCCGGTGGACGCGGGGGGACCGCCGCGCGCCCCCTCTGTCGGAGAGCTCGCCCCGCCCGCCCCCGCTTCGAAGCCCGGCGGCAGGGCCGGTGACCCGGAGGCCCGAGGATCGCCGCGCCCCAGCCCGCAGCGGCTGCATCGGGGGAGGCGCCCCAAAGCCGGCGGCGGGGAGCCCTCTTCCGCCGGAGCCGTCGGCGGCTTGAAGAGCGATGCTCAGAAAAGACACCGCGAGGCTCGGCTCCCCCGCCAGCCTCCGAGGCCCCAGACCGTGGCCCCGCGGGAAATCCAAGTCCACCCCAGTTTGCCCTGAAGACGCGCCAGGCCCCCTCCCCACGCTGCGCCGGGCAGGGCGCGGGGGTGGAAACAGCTGCCGCGTCCTCGTGCCAAGCAGAAGCCGGCTCCGCGCCGGGTCCCTCGGCCCTTCTGCGTGCAGGAGCACTTCACCGCCGGCGGGGATGACGGCCGCCAAGCAAATTTGAAACCAGGGGTCGGCGCGGACGTGGGGAGCCGGGGACGCGGACGCGCGCGAGGCGGCGGCCCGGAAGCCGCGCGGCCCGGGGTGGCGCCCGGCGGTCATGGGCGAGCCGGCCGCCCGGCGTCCCGGGGCCGGCTGAGCGCGGGGCCGCCCCCACCGCTCCCGGGCCCCGGGCGAGAGGCGGCCCGCGCCGACGGCCCTCCCGCGCGGGGCTGCCCTCGGGGGCCCGGCCATGGCCGGCCGGGGGTGCGGCTGCGGCTGCTGCCCGGGCCACCTGAACGAGGACAACGCGCGCTTCTTGCTGCTCGCGGCGCTCATCGCGCTCTACCTGCTGGGCGGCGCCGCCGTGTTCTCGGCGCTGGAGCTGGCGCAGGAGCGCCAGGCCAAGCAGCGCTGGGAGGAGCGCCTGGCCAACTTCAGCCGCAGCCACAACCTGAGCCGCGACGAGCTGCGCGACTTCCTCCGCCACTACGAGGAGGCCACCGAGGCCGGCATCCGCGTGGACAGCGCCCGCCCGCGCTGGGACTTCACCGGCGCCTTCTACTTCGTGGGCACGGTCGTGTCCACCATAGGTACGCGGGCCCGGGAAGGGGCAGGGGCGGTCGCGCTCGCCCTCGCGCTCGCGGGCAGGACCTCGGTCCTCGCCCGGGTAGGTCCACCTCGGTGTGGCGCCCTGCCGCACGGATGCCAGCTGCCGCCCGGTGCACAGGTGCTGGTGCCTCCTGCTCTTTTACCTGTGGCCCACGGGCCGGCGGCGTCAGCATCAGCTGGGAGGTTGCTGGAAAGCAGAATCTCAGCCTCCCCAGATCAGGGCCAGAGTCTGCGGCTAACATAGGCCGCTGGGGATTTGGAGGAGCCTAAAGTCGAAGAAGCGCTGCTCTAGATTTTCAGTCTCCTTAAGGAAAGAGCTTGTGTTCCTGGGACTTTGGGTGAGAGCTTAAAATTAACCAGAGGAACCTATAAACATATTTGAATTCGTACCATGCCCACGGTATTGGTCAGAAGGAGAGGCTCAAAGTTTAAGGCTCTGTATAAGACTCTTGACTTCAAACAGAGAGGGAAAATCAGATTGAATATCACATAGGAAGTGAGGTGGCAAAAGTGCTGTGGAAGGTGGAAATTGTTCCCTACCGGAAGGATTGAGAGAGCAGTGACCTTTCCAGGCAGAACCAGTTAGGGGTGGATATGATTTGGGTTTGGGAACTGGAGGAGAGAACTGCACTCAGGGGTCCCCTGGCAATCTGAGCTAGTTGGAGTTGTGCCTAAAAGGATGGAGGGGATCCTTTACTGCCAGACCAAGGCTTTTCTAAAGGCAATTGGGAGACATTGATAGTTTTTTTTTAGATTTATTTATTTATTCATACAAGAGCTGGGGTACAGGCCAGAGATATGGGGGGGGAGGTGAGAGGATCCACCAGAGACAAAGCAGGGAACAGAACAGGCAGACTGACTGAAATACACTGCTGAGGGGAGCAGTGGACGAGATAGGAGAGGTCTGCTGCGCCATGTGGGTAGCTCCCTGGCTGGCCATGGATCGAACTCATGCTGCAGGGTCTGTGGATTGCTTCATAGTGCGGTGCTCAATCCCTTGTGCCACCAGGGAAGCCCGCCATTGATAGTTTTTGAGGTAGTGTGGCACAGCTACTATCCATCATACCTTCCTCATAGCAGAAGAAAAAAGATTGGCAGGCTTTGTGCCGTACTCCTAAGGATTGTTCACCATTATTAAAGTGTAATTTAGTGATGAGGGAGTTGGGAAGAGGCTGTAAAAATTCTGAGGAATGCAGAGAGGGAGAGTGGAGGAGGGGCCTTCGAAAGGCTCCAGAGCAAGGGAGTAGCTCCCAGTGATCAGGGCTAGGAGAAGCAACAGGCACGCGGCACACAGGGGTACAGGTGTTCCCCAGCCACAGCCCTGTGCTCACAGGAAGAGCTTGTCAGTGATGCAGGTGAACTTTCCTCGAGGCTCCACATACTGGTGTCTGAGGTAGACATTCTGCCAGGAGAAGGGGCACATAGTATATTAGGAATCAGCCTCAGGCCTGATTAGTCAAGGAAGACTCCCCAAGATTAGCCTAGAAGTCCAGGGCTTCTTTGGCACCTAGGAGGCCAGGTGGAGAGCATTAGCCTGACGTCCAGGTATATGTGAAGTGCTTTGTGCTAAACTGCCCGACTTGCAGCCCCCATCCCACCCTACCCCCATGGCCCTGCCCACCCGCTGGCCATTACAACATACCAGTACTGGACTCTGTATCTGGCAAGAAAAACAGCACTTTCTCCATAATGACCAGGACAGATCACACCACCGTGGTTCTCACTCCGACCCACATTTCCCACTGGGCTCTCATAGCAGAATTCCCTATGTCTCTCACCATGTAATTTCTGGTGTGTCCGGAGACAGTTCTAGAATTTCTCTATAAAGAGGACTTGGAGTAAACATGTTGGGAAGAGTCGCTGTGGAATTTACCTTGAATCTGCTGTTTGCATAAACAAGTACCAGGTTTTTATTTATTTGTTTATTTTTAAAGATTTATTCATGCATACAAGAACCGGGGTACAGGCCAGATGTGCGGGAAGGTGAGAGGATTCACCAGAGACAGAGGCGCGGGGAACAGAACAGGCAGATGACCGAAATACACAGCTGAGGAGAGGTCTGCCACGCCATGTGGGATTCTGCCCGCCATGTCGGCCGGCCAGGATTGAACCAGCACTACAGGGGCAGCAGACAGCTTCACAGCACTGCGCTCAACCCCCTACGCCACCAGGGGAGGCCCAACCAGGTTTTTATTTAAATGGAATATTTGGGATGGTTTTGGTGGGAGACTGGGGGACTAAATCCTCCCTCTCCCCTCACAGACCCATCCATGGAACTCCCACAGGTAGGAGGGAGCAGTGTGTGTGTAGACCGGAGAACATGGGGGCCACAGGGACGGAGCGTGTCACCAGTGGGCAGGTATCTGGGAACGTGCTTTCTGGGCACAAATGTAACACCGCAGCCTAGTGAAATAGAAGGAAACCTGGGCTGAGATCTGGAGTTGAAGCTGTGGGTTACAACCCCTCTGTAACTTAAAAAGGTGCTGAACGGTTCTGAGATCCTTCTTCTTGCTGAGATGTCTCCAGGGAGCCCACGGTAGTGCCAACTGGCACAAAGGTAGGTTCACTATTGATTCAGGCAGATGGATAAAGAGTCCTGGAGCCCTCAATAGACTCTTCAGGCTTTAATGCTCTCAGGGAACCATGTACATGGGCATATGAGGCAGAGAGGCTGGCATGCAAGGAGGCAGGCAGACAACCAAACTCCCAGTCCCCCACAAATCCCTACGCTCCCTCTCTGGGGTTTGTTCACTCTCTGGTGTTGTCTCCTGGTCTCACCTCTTCTGTTATCACACCACTTATTCTGCCGCTGCTTTTAGCCCAGCATCTAGGCTCAGGTGTGCACGCTTACACATGTCCACGCACCCATACTCCAGGTGTCCACAATCAGGCACACGTACCCCAACCCACATGCCTTCTGTATTAACATGGTCAAGGCCGCAGGTGATAGCCACAGAGGCTAGTGGTGCAAAAAGCCTGATTGACTCATTTACCCTACACCACCCTGGCGTCTGGCAAACAGTAGCTGTTTGGAAGTATCAGCCCTGTCTCCTCCACTCCCTCCCCTGAGCCACGCCTCTTGCAGGTTCTTGCGAGGGACAATGAGTACGTGTAAGTGGATGTTCTTTCCTATGTGGAAAGCGCCGTGCTGATATGGGCTGGGATTTGCTTTCTCTTCACTAGTGTTTCCTTTTGGTTGTTTCACTGCTGTTGTGATAACGGCACCTCCTACTCTTTCTTAGGCACATACTATGACACGGGATTATTTTGCCAACACATGTTGCAACTAATGGCTGCATTATATTCAGACTTAATTTCAATCAACACAACTCCATGAAGTGGGTGTGATTATCCCCATTTCATGATGAGGAAATGAAAGCTTTGCGTTCTTTGTAAAATAAAGTATAAAGAAAAGCTACCCATCAGTAATGCCATCACCCAAGTTAGCAATTGTTGGTATTTTGGTGCATTTCTCTCTAGTCTTTTTCTCCTTATGCATACACATCTACACATCTGTATTTTCTTAATTGCGATCATAGTCTCTAAATCATTTATGTCTTGAATTTTATTTATTTTTAAATATTTATGCATACAAGATCTGGGGTACAGGCCAGAGGTACGGGGGGTGGAGGGTGAGAGGATTCACCAGAGACAGAGTGGGGAACAGAACAGGAGGAATGACTGATATACACTGCTGAGGGGAGCAGCGGGCGAGTCAGGATAGGTCTGCTGCGCCATGTTGGTAACTCCCTGGTCAGGGATCGAATTTGTGCTGCCGTAGCTATGGATATCTTCATAGATTGCATCTTGACTGTTGCGCCACCAGCGAGGCCCTGTGTCTTGAATTTTAATCATAACTTTATAAGATCATATATTTCTTCTGAAAATTAGTTTCACTGTTTTAGTCTACAAAGACTTTGAGGTAACAGACAATAAGAAAGTATACAGAAAAATAATCATAAAATGTAAATAAAACTTCAGAACCAGGGCAGAGAACAGAAATAGGGAAAGCAGTTGGATCCTTGAAAGTTGCTAGAGAAGAGCTCCATCTTAGTTTATTTCCCTCAAAAGCAGCCAAGAATTTGAGTACTGTTGACTGGCAGGTGCCAGGGATACAGACAGGTAAAGGGGGAAGTGAGACAAGGGAATTCAGTCAGTACAGGGTGTGTTATTCCCACCATGGGCAACTGGTACATAACCCCAAGTGCAAGCTTGAAAACAACACAGAGCTTGTGACCCAGAATTAGACCAGGCAACAGAACTGGGGTATTTATACACCCACACCTGTCAGTAATTGGTTAAAAGCAGCTTGGGGGATGGCGGAGCAGGGGCATATAATTCCCAAGTACTTCTGGTCTGTTTTTTCAGACAGTCCAAATCCTCTGCAAAATTATAGGCACCGACCATGAGAAATCAGCCCTGTGCACCCAGAAATGATAGCGGGAACCCCAGGGGTGTGGGCAGAGCACCAGCAATGACTATTCAGGCTTCATATTTGTTGCAAGCCTCTTTGCAGAGTAATGACCCACACTAGAATTCTTCTTGTCACAAAAAGGGAAGCATAACCTTTCCCCAGTACTTATTCCTCAAAAATATTTCCCCCTTGGGATTTTATATTGGAGACATTGCAAAGGACAATGGGTGGTATCCACAAACAGCATTTTCCTGGAAAATGCAAATTACATGCAAAAATAATTGAAACCTTTGATTTCAAAGCCAGAGCAGGGTGGAAAACAATTTGATGGTTTCTCAAAAGGTTAAACACAGAACACTATATGACCCAGCAATTCCCCTCTCAGAGTACTTATTGAAAAGAACAGAAAGCTATTTCTACATCATGGTTCATTGAAGCAGTCTCACTAGCCAAAAGGTGGAATCAACCTAAATGGGTATCATGAGATGAAGGCAAAACAAAAGATAGTATATACATGCAATAGAATACTATTCAACCCACAAAAAGGAATGAAACTTTGATGTATGT